TCACACATTAGCGGCGTCACTCTCTATCTCACTCACACTTCGTAGAATAGCTCTCTCCGTCTCTCTCATAGTTACCGTTAAGAATTATGTCATAGTTACCGTTCCGAGCGAAGGATTGGGTACACTAAATAAATTTAAATTAAGAAATAAAAAATAGTTGAAAACCGGTTTTGTTCACAAAAAAAATTATTTGACCATAATCTAAGAAATAAAGTAGCAAGTGTAATACCATTTTGGAATCCTCTTAAAATGCGCCAACTTTTAAAGCTACTTGCCCAACCAGTGTAGTACATTTTTTTTTCGGTAGAGTGAGTTGAAATTGAACGAAAATTCAATTTCTCTTTTGATATGGGAATAATGTGTCATTTTCTTTTCAAAATTAGAGCAGTTGTGTCAAAATTTTAGACGACTAGCTACAGGAGCATTACTCAGGGTTACAAAATAATAAAAAAATTAAAATAAAGTGGAAATTTGTAGAAACGGGAAGTGAAAATGCGTCACAGGGTGTATATTTTTCGATTTTTTTCAAAATGGTCATAATTTTTAAAATACATGACATAGATTTTATTTTTTATTTTTCTGATAACAGTTATGACCTGGCCTATCACCCCGTTCCGGCTTGACGTCGCGTCCCGGGACACCCTGTATAACCAGAATTAGAGACGACATTTAATTTATTTGAAAACTATTCTGCCATATTATAACTGTGACAACTGCTCTCCGATTGGCCAGCCCGAATTAGAATCTATTGACGGGTGTCGTCAATTGTTTCACTTCAAAACGACCAGTTTAACTTGAGCTTTGCTATAATAGACGAAAATTGCAAAATTACATATTTAATTGATTCCGTTTGTTTTATAATAAGATGTTTTGCTGTTTTCCCCACACCACCGAATGGAACAGTACGCCATTGTTAGAGATACTATCTTTATTACAATAAACATAGAATATTTTTGGAGTATACGAAGACGTACACACAGGTCAGTTGTTGGCGCTGTATTATTTCAGTTTTCTAATTTGTAATTTCAGTGCAAACGAGAGTTGATATTTATATGTGATGTATCACTGATGAGTTACCATGAATGTATGACCTTTACTTCGTCTCTATTTTTGGTTATATACTCGATGCACTTACATTACTGTTCTGTAATTGCAATTTTTCATTCATTTATTAATTTCAAAATCCTCTCCCATCAGTGGGACGTTTAGAAATTGATATCGTACAGGAAGTAGTACTCACAGAAGACTTTGGCAAGTGCGATGTTCTCCAGGATGGACAGTAACGGGACGACGAATATAGCGGAGCCAAGCGTGGAAGCCATCTCCATGAAGTTGTACGTATGATTGCCCACGGTTGCTGAGAACGGCGGGGGGCCAATGGACGGTAGGCCCGGTTTCACTTCACCTGCACAGTGATTGAAGTTAACATCAATAAATGTCTATAATAATAATCGTTGCCCTAGGGCCGTCTTACCATGTACTCTTATTACAGTTCAGTATAGGTTCGTAACGACAAAAAAGCGGGATGGTGATATACACTTCATGTAGCGCTGTCTCACGATTCATTTTAAGTCCCAAACTAAATCGTAATAAGAGTTCATGGTAAGACCCCTGTTAACTTCATTGCCTATTTATTGCAATCACCATACTTAAGGAAATTTCTAAAGGAAATCACTAAAGAAACGAAACATTGCTGAAAAGTTTTAGTAGCAGTAGAGTTCCTTGTGACAGAAGATGGATAGATAGATAGATAGATAATTCGTTTATTTGCTGAATCACAGTACAAGCTTATGACATAGATAAAGGTACCATAGTACAATGGTAGGTAATCATAAAGAAAAAGGCTAGTCTAGGTGTGCGGATATGGTCTGGAGTACTAAGTTGTGTCAGGTGTAGAATTGAGTGTACTGTGTCAGCAAAACGGGCCTGACTCAGGTATCAGTTCAGTCGAACTACGACGCTGATGATTCTGCCAGGTCCCAAGGTGAGCCGGTAAAAGAAGAATAGAATAGAAAATCAACATGGAGTTAGAAAGTAAGGTATGTAGTTACAATATTAACTGTATAGGTGAATAACTTATCATATAAGCTAAGAAGTATTGCCATCTTATCTATTTCTGCCACCAAGTATCACTATACTGCGATCTATAATGTGAGCATTACCGTGTTCCGATTTTTAACCGACTTCAAAAAAGGAGGAGGTTCTCAATTCGACTGTATGTTCTTTTTTTTTGTATGTATGTTACGCGATAACTCCGGTATTTGTGAACCGATTTTCATGATTCTTTTTTTGTTGGAAAGGGGGTACTTCCATAGTGGCCCCATTTCATTTTGAAGAAAATCATCCACCTCTTAGGGTGGCTGTTCACGCATGAAGATTCGTTTTTATAAATAGCGCCTAACTTTAATTTAGGAGCAATTATTTTAATGGTTGATTTTGCTATTTCTCCAATTCAAGGCGTTTTTCTCTCAATATACTTTGAATAGTGAGAACCGATTTTTATTATCTCCAGTGTCAAGTCCTGTACAGTGGCGAACTAGGGGATATTACAATAAAACTTAGCAAATAGACTTAATTCCACGTACTTTTGAGGTCGGTTTTTTTAGTACTCTGTACTGAGATTATTAAGGGTAACGGTGCTTGTGAAATTACAGGCACATGGGACTTGTCAACTTATATCTCAGGGTGACGGACGCAGTGGCAGTGCCCCTCAGATCTTTGCGATCTAAAGCTCTGAGTGGCACTGCAACTATTATGGACAGGCGTGTCGCTTACCACCACACAAAAGTAAGGTTTTACGGTGACTGTTGTTCACATGTACCAAATTAGAATATGTTGACAAAAAAAAAATTAACACGGAACTAACCTGTAAGCACGAAGGGTGTCTGCTTCCTCGTGTCGAAGTAATACGCGAGCGCAGCACAGACGAGCACGACAAGGATATTGCGCGTCGTGGAGAGGAACCAGAGAGCTTGTGCCAGAGCAGCGCGAGCGCCTGACACTTCCTCGCCACTTGCGCTGCCGCTGGACACTTTTATGTCCTTTACTTTCTGAAAGCAAGGAGAAAGATGTCTCATTCTATTTTGTCTGATCTGACATCGTACTCTGATACCTGGACGCTTGATGACCCTTTTAGTAGGAGTACCTAAAGCTCTTTGGAAGAGTTCGTCGAGGGAAATTTACTTTAGTTTAATGAAGTATCACCTTTTCTGTTAATTATTCAATACAGTATTTCCGTATAATTAAATTAATTCATACAAAATTTAAAATAAAAGCGCTTGCTTTTATGTGATTTTCTTTTGTTTAAAAACATTATATTCATACATCATTATAAGTACAAGTTAAAAGTGTAAAAAACGTTAAAAATTAATACAAAGGTTTACCTAAAGAATGTTTTTTTTTATCTAGTATTTTTTTAAACACCAAAATATAAGCCACGCCAATCATATAGCCGTCGCCACGCGCGCGCCGCATAAATTAATCTTCAATCAATTTCTGAACGATTCATAAATGAAGTATGCAATTATGCCGCCATTTTCTTTTCTTCATTTCTCACAAGTGACAAAATTACAAAAAAACGGTAGTTACAGTTTTAAAATTCTTGATTACATTTTACCTCTATAAATATTAATAAAATTCTTATTCTATATAATCTTATTATGATTTAAAAACGATCATTTTGACAATTCCTAAATAAGAAATATGGAAATAAACGATAAGAAACATGGATTTATTAATGCAGGCCTTATACATACATTCTCAGAATTATGTTTGTATGTGGAAAACATCAATTTGTACTTTTAATAAACATTCTTACAACAACCTAAACCGGAAACCCAGACCAGCACTTAGCGCGTTTACAACAAATCTATCTACTAGATAACAATCAAAAGCAGTCACCGTGACAACATGGATTGCACTCTAGTTACACTATTAAAGTTAAATGTAATGCAGAAAAAACTGCATAATCATGATCATGGGACCTGTAAAGGATCCAAAATGTTTGGTTTGAAAAAACGAATATATTATGCGACTTAGGTCCGAAAAAATATGATCATAGGAAATGAAACATTTTTCCGGATTTCAATCGCGTATATTTGTTTTTTCAAACAAACCGACGTTTCGGTGGTCGGATGGTCAACCGTGACCATGGGACCTGTAAAGGACCCGAAACGTCGGTTTGTTAAAAAAAACAAATATACGCGATTTAAATCCGGAAAAATAGTTTCATTTCCTATGTGTAACAATCGCGAAAACCTAAGAACTCGATAAATATGATCATTACAACCATTTATACGTCTCACCAAACCAACCAATCAGCTACTACGGCGTTTAAAAAAACTGCAAGATTACTTTCATAATTTTGATTATATTTTACAAAATCCCCATGACCATCATAACAAGTAGTAGCGGTAGAGTTCCAATAGCAGTAGAGCTCATTGTGAAAGAGCTCACCCAGGGAAGTACTGCCACCTTACCTATTTCTGCCACCAATCGGTAATATGAACATTACTGCGTTCCGGTTTTGAAGGGTGCTGGTGAAATTACAGGCACACGGAACTTTTCAACTAATTAATAATTTCAACAGTGAGTGAGGTTTGTGGGAAAAAAGTGAGTGACATTGGTAACGCCACAACAAATCTCGATGCAGGTAGTAGTCGTCGACAGCGCAAGAGGGTAGACAGATATGTCTGCTCTTAAAGCTGTCATCTGCCGCCATTCAGTCAATCGTTCCGAAATATCGGTAAATAAAAATAAGTCATATATCAATAAGATTTCATCGTTGCACTAGGTTCCTTCGCGTTTGGATACCACTTTCCACTTAACATCAGGTGGAGTGGAGTCATTTGCCTGTCATGTATATAAAAAAAAAAAGAAGCCTGAAATTAGTGATAATGAAGGGGGCAATGTCGGTCCCTCCAGATCTTTGCGATTTAAAGCTCTGAGTGTCACTGCAACTGTTATGGACAGGCGTGTCGCTTACCATCAGGTGCATGACTTATTCGGACGTTTTAAATATGGCCGCCATTAAAGAGCTATTTTCATGTTTTAAAACTAAGTCATAAGTGCCGAGGCCGTAGGTCGAGGTCCAGGGCGAACCCCAAAGTAGGTGGTATGCGAGGCTCTATTACGAGTACAAGATCTCACAATTGTTCAAAATAAATACTTCCCGATGTAGTGGAAATGTGATACTTATAGCGTTGTTGTATCTCGATCGTCTCTCTGTTAAATTCCTTTTTCTTGGAAGCTATGTCAAAGAGAAGTATTTAGGGGAAAAAACTTGCCAATGACACCAAATTTCTGGACTCAAATTAGGGACTTCCCTGTACTATGAATACCAGAACAACGAACACTCTGAGGGACTCAGAATACCCAGACCAGATCCAACTTAGAAATGTTCGTTTCCTAATTTGCCCAAATCGGGAATCGAACCCGGAACCTCCACATCAAGGGCCCATAGTACCAGGCGCTGTGTCACCGAAGAGCGAAAGCACACCCCGCAGTCTAAACGTGACCACGTGCCGCAGGCCGAGCCCAACCTCACAATAGGTGGGGTACAGGGATCGTTATACATAGAGCCAGGTGTGCAATCTGACAAACGAATAAAATAAAAATTTGCTTTTAAAAAACTATTACTTAACCAAAGCAGGAAGTGAGCGAGCTCTTTTTTACAACCATTAACTGATATTCAAATGAGTTACGGCTATAATTTAGCGTTGAACGCTTCAATTTAAACCTAGTACAGTATAAGATTTGCCTAGGTGCTATGTATACCTGAGATTGAAGTAAGATATATGACACGTGAGCCGAAGAAAACAAATTATCATTGCACGTGTACCGGAGACACGTGATTGTTAAAGATCGTTTACAGTTGATGAATAAATATGTCCTTTAAAATATCATTCATTGCAGCTGGCAGAGCTTCTTGTGAAAGATTTCATCCGGGAAACTACTGCTACCTTACCTATTTTTGCCGCTAAACAGTAATATGAACGTTAGTGCCCTCGTTACCGAACGGTTACCACGCCGGACTGCCACGCAGAGGTCCCAGCCTCGATTCCCTAGCCGGGAGATATATTTGTATGACCTACATTTATTTCTCTCGTGAGTTTGGGTGTAATTTGTGTGGTAGTCTATGTGTGTGCACAGGGTTTCTCTACTGCGGGGCTATGTTGAGTGTGTGCGTTATTATTGTTATTATTATTATAGTGCGTTGCGTTTCGGTTCTTTCGTGGTTTTTCATTAATAGTACATTATGATACAAGTGTGCTAAGTTGGTCATTACACACGAGGCGTTATTACTCGCGCGAGCCGCAGGCGAGCGCGATAAGAAAGCCGAGAGTGTAATGATCAAAGCACACGTGTTTCATACGACGTTTTTCAACACATTTGCGAGGAAAATGAAACAAACTTGAGTAAAATGGAAATGAAAAATAGCTTTATTTGGCATTAATTATACAGATACACTGAATACTATATTAAGCTCACGTTAATGTAAATAATATTATTCTATTCTATACTATATCTATCAATAGCAATTAATTAAGAGTCTCCAAAGCCTATCAAAGTCATTGTATCTTGATTTTATCAAAAATGTAGTTATTTAAATTTAATTATTAAAACAATTGTTAAATGTACAATTTTCAAAATGGTAACGTGCAGTTTTGTTAGGCATTTGAACCGTCTGTGTGATATTATTTGTTACTATTTCATTATTGTCTTCTTGCGTAAAAGTCGGTGATACGGGTTCATTGTGTACAAATATGGATGAAAGTGGTGGTGGTTCATTTAAAGACTCAGAAATAGACAACCTAGGTAACAAATAACTTGTATCACGGGAGGTGGATGGCTGCGGTTCAGGACACATCTTCTTAACCTGGGGCTCCAGATTTATAGCGTGGGTTATTTGAGTACATGTGTTGGACTTATTTCGAACTGAATCTTCAACATAAGACTCAGCAACTGTGCTAGATCGCCAGCCACCATGACGCTTTAAAGTAAGCAAATCAGCTCCCGAGTCAGCTAGCAATGTAGCTGATGTTCTTCGGAAACTATGCCCAGTGTATAAATCCGGGTCGGGTAGATTTAAAAACTTGGCAATTTCTTTAGGCATTGCACCAAATTTATTAATGCCTATTGGCTGAGCCACGCATCTACCCTTCTGGTAGTTTTGAAAAAACCGATCGGATTTTGCCTTATCTGTCCTAAGCGCTTCGTACTTTTTTATTATGTCGTAAAATGGACCGTGAATGGCAAACGATCTCGGTACCTTATTTTTAGTGTTGTTAATTTTAATCAAAAGCATTTGGCCATGAGTTTCTACGTCTTTTGCCGTTACTTCGCTTAGTTCTTGGCGTCTACACGCGCCAGTGACACCAAATATCATTGCAACCTGTAAAGAAATTAAAAATATAGGTATTTTCGCAAATATAATACAAGAAAAATGAAAACATAAAAAAATTAAGGTTTAATACGATCAACTGACCTTTGTTGCTAAATACTGATAATCGGGGGCTTCTTTTAAAAACTTTTCGACGTCAGTTGGCGAAAGTACCTTCGATTTTCTTGCAACATACCCATCAGAGCGTCTCTTTAAAAATGCCGTCAGATTTGAATAGTTTTTTATGTCTATGTTATTCTTGTTCTTTACTGTGGTCTTTAACATAGAATAAATGCACCAGAGCGAGCTGGGCTTAAACCTATTCGCCAGTTCATTAAAATAGGCAAGAAAAACATTTTCTGAAAACGAAGACGCTTTTTTGTTGGTTTTCCATTGTATAAAAGTTTCATATGCAGCCATGTATTTTTCTCTGGATTTCGAAGGTAATAAACTGTCACTTGCGTTTTGTGCCTCTGTGAGGATTTCGGGCGGTGTTAAATCCATCAAAATGTTTTCTTCCGTGCTTGAGCAGGACATTTTAAACACCTAGGTAATTATCTAACACACAGCGTATATAAATGTTTCGAACGTATCAATGGAAATTGGCGCGCAGAGTTATTTTTTCTGCGCCTGGCGCCGCGGCGCGGATATGCGCGCGCAGGTGCTTCGGCAATAATGAGACTTAGGTGAAATACCTAAACAGCCAATGCGAAATAATATAAATATGTCCTTATTTCACTCAAATTCGTGTAAAATATTATCCAAAATAAGTAATTTTATTCAATTAAAGTTTTATAGGTGTATATTGTGTATGTTTTTCTATATTTATCATATCAAATAAGAAATATAAATTTATTAATAAAAATATTATTTGTAAGGTAAGACTACACAACCGTATTAAACAGAAATAAAAAAAAAAACTGTGACCCTGTTTGTTTGGGATTACTGTCATTGTAATTTGAATCTTATAATATGTAGGTTAGAGCTGTTTTTTTAATAGACCAAGTTAATTTCAAAGACATAACCCGGATAATTTAAGAATGCATAGTTTTAATACATAGGCCTTGTTGTGAGATACATCTTAATCCGGTTAAGCCTATACTTATTACACACACGTTTTGTAATATAATTACAAACGCGTGTTCAATAGCTAGGTTTATGAGCCTAAAAGCGATACAATAAGAAGCCCGTTACGAGCAAATGTGTTGAAAACGATTATAATTAGGTACAAGTATCTTAACACGGTACACTTCTTCAGAGGAACAATAAAAATTAAAAGTAATTACAATCGTGCCTGGTTTATTAATTACACTAATCCAACGGAGCTTACAATAATATTAATAAATTATAATAATAATACACAAAACCACAACACCAGGTCGCCAAGGGAATTCCCTACGTATACCCTACGAGCTTACAACATCCCGACTAATCAACAAATATTTTCCTGAATGGGTCCTAGAAGGACTTCAAACCGGGCCCCCACACTAATGCGTTTGCTCATATTTAGATACGTCGATCTTAGATTTATTTTCACGCGCTTCACGTTCAATATTAATAAACGCACCAAACATCACATCCCTAATTATATTATAAATTTAGAAGAAAACGCTCTTCGAAAACTAGCTAAACGATTTTTTCCATTAAAAAGAATGTTTGGGAGTGCTACAGACAAATACGGAGGGGAGAAGGAGGCACCTTTGAACTCAGGGGCAGTTTAGAACAAACTGCGTTTACGCAGTCAGTTTGAATGAAAATGTAGTAGGAATTATGTTTATAATAAGGCACCACCGAGCCCAACACTTTTCAGCGGCAACGATAAGCTTGCGCGAGCCGAAAACCGAATGAGAGATTGTGTTTAGTTTCATAGTCGAAAAGTATTCTCAAAAATAGTTGTAAGGATATTACTAGAAGAATATAGATAATGGTGAGTTGAACTTTGCTTGTCATATGGTTTGTTTTATTGCTAAAACGTTTAACTTACAGCTTGCAATCATTGAGTGTATGAAAAATATATGTTATTTTGTAGAGTACCCATTGGGGCAGATTTGAATAAATGCCCCCTTTGATTTGTTCAAATCTGCCCCAATGGGTACTCTACAAAATAACATATATTTTTCTGCTTTGAAGTCGTTTGGCGGTTCTGATAAGTTTCTTCTGCTAATATTTTTATAGTCTTAACTTTATTAATCTGTACCATCCATGTGAAATATGAATAGACGAAGCTTAGATTTAGTCGAAGGATGTAAATGAATTAATTAGGTACAGTTAGTACGTACTCTGAGCAGCAACAGTACGACGATGCAGGTGAAGCCGAGGACAGTGTCCCACAGACGCGTCTCGCCGATGTGTTCATACATTCCTGTCCACACCTGGGAACAACACAACAACGGAGACTTAGATGTAATACCTCGTATATGATTGCTATGTAATTTTTCAAGACGACTACAAAAATGTGGTGTAAAATATAGTAAAAACAAGAACAGTTGTTGGCTTTTTAATCAGTAAAATTATACCTATTTCAGATGATACATTACTTTAATAATACAGGGTGTAATCGTTAAGTGTGCCCAGGGGTTTTCGTAAATATAAGAGATATAAATAACCTTTAAACTGATATAGAAACTACGCCGAAGTATATAATATATAATAAAATAGTTTAAGTATATAATACTTAAACTACCTAATGAGTAAAACGAAAGTAATAATTTATTCAATATAAAACTAGGAATTTCCAAAAATTTTAATGACAAAAGCTCCCATATATTTTATATGCTCCCATATATTTAATATTCATAGAGAGGCTGTAGTTTCGAACTACTACTTTGAATACAAAATTTTGAACTTACTTAAAAATAAACACCACTTTGTTTTTATTCAATTAAAAAAATAGTTGAATGAATGAAAGAATGAAATGAAATAATCTTTATTGCACGTAAAATTACAATCAAAATACAATATTATTACAATATTATTAAGAATAATAGTAGTAGTAAGTTATTGTGCAACAGGCGGCCTTATTGCTATGTAGCAATTTTTTCCAGGCAACCTTAGGATAGACATTTCGGATATGCAAAATGGGGTTTCGTTATCTTAACTAATTAAAGTATTTTTTTGTTAAGTCTTATTGGATGTCATCATGTTTGACCACCATGATATTCAATTATATTTGTTAAATTATTCCACTAGTTTGTTATAACTTATAATTATGAAGATCGTTCTGTCTTTGTATTAATAATTTTATTTAACTCAGAAAAAAATACTACACTTAGAAAAACTAGTGTCCGCCAGTTCGGTCCGGTTACGGTTTGCTGAAAGACGTTGGTTCGAATCCAGCGGGATCGAAGGATGTTTTTCTGATTATTCGATCTTTGTATTAACAAAATTAATGAAAGTAAACTTTCTTCCAGTAAACTTACTGGTTACCTCATAAAGTAGGTCAACTAAATCCTTTCTACAAATGTCATATTAAATGTAATCAATGTTAAAATTAATAATTTCTAGGTTTGTTTAAAACAGTCATTGGTGTCGTTTTATTCATTATTTAAAGGTAATTTTGATAGGAATTATAGAACGTAAGTTTATACGAAACTTTCGTTGTATTAAGTGAATTGTTAAATGAAAAAAGTTAACAATAAAAGTGTATGAAACTTAAATTAACGTTAGGTTATAAACATTTATATGATACATTACTATCCCAAGAAATAAACCATAAGTTTTAGCGTCAATTTCAGGGAAACCTGTACATTTACTTGCTTGCTTTTATTATTAATTTTATTGCTGTAACACGTAACCCTTCAAATGATGATGTATAAAAAATTCTGACTAGAAAGTTCGTGTCCCCAAAAGACCAAAGTCATGTTTGAGAGTCCGCGACTGTAATATTAAATTAATTAAAATTGTAAAGTGCGTCATTAATTCCATCATTAGAACGCATATCGTGCCAATATCAAGAAAAAGCTATATTTTGTGAGACCTCGAATATAAATCCGACACGAAAGGCCTTTTCCGAGATACGTGAATGTTTTCACAATTATTTAGAATTCTTTAAGAGGCAAACGCCAAGGTTAAGGGAAAGCTGTCAATCTGCGTCAATTGCTGAAAAAAACAATATAATTTGTATAAAACCTACGATCTCGTTATAATTAATCGACTGTCGTGTATCTTTTAATTATATTTTAAAGCTGCGACTTTCACTTTCGTTGTTATCGAAGTTATTCTTATCGTGTAAATCCAAATAAATCTTTCCATCCGCAAATGAACACATGTTGTTGACACAACAGCCGGTTTGTTATAGTGTATCTGAGATATGTAATTACAACTGTTGCGCTTATAAAATGTTTTAGTACTTCTAGAACCCACATCTAATAGATTAGTTGAAAAAAACATTGATCCGTCCTAAAATCATTACGCCTTGCGTGTCTATGAATTGTGGTAATATGATTTTATTTATTTGGTTTACCACGACAGCCATTATATTTAGGCTTATTAACTAGATACAGTGAATTGTGGTTTTAAATGTAATGCACAGTTAATCACACAATGCAAATAATGCCAAATGACGATTTTTTAACTCTTATTAACATAAATCGTGTATGTATTTCTATATTTAGAACCTCCACGGTCTTTCAAGGAGTTAAATACCCATACTTTTTTATGCTTCCTAGTAACGGAACGAAGAAGTCGTGTACCTGTTCCCATTATGCCGTGACAACAGATAGTTGTGTAGTTTAAAGTGCTTGTATTGTTAAATGAAGTTGTTCACACATAGAACAACACGATTAACTGTCGTTCACGACTTTTTCGACGTTACGACGACAGAGACAGACGATAAATAGAACGTCATGATAAGATAGTGACGACAGATAATCGCAGCTTCAAACGATTCTGTCGTGCAAATGACAAGGTGGCTACCCTGAATCGATAAATTGTCGTCACGATCTAGTGGGAACAGCAAGACACGACAGTCGTTCAATGATAAAAAAAAACGTCCACGATACAGTCACAACATGTAGTCGTGATATTTGAACGGGTTAAACGCGACAGGACGGGAACAGAGCTTTAAATTTAAATTTAAAGATATGAGGCACTGCCACTGCATATAAGTTGACAAGTCCCATGTGCTTGTAATTTCACCACTTCTACCTATTCAAATGCTTATCTTTTTATCTAGACTTCAGACTGAGAAAAATCCTTTCGACCTGATGGGACTCGAACCTGTGATTAGTAGAGCGGTGGGAATTTATTTTTGTGTTAGATCTTTGTATTAATAATTATAACAAAGTATAGTGGAGTATTTTCACCATAAATATATGAATGTCATATAGATTTTAAGACTTTCGTGGTTATTCACTAAATGATTATCACTAGTAACAGGTTTCTTACCACGGTATAACTTCTTTTTATTTTCCCGATATTTCGGAACGGTTGCACGC